AGCAGCATAGAGTCGGTCTAGTACATCAAATGAAAGAAATTTTGAAGAAAAAAAGACTTGTGAAGCGTCAGGCTGCTCAAATGGAATTCATACTCCAGATGCTTGGAAACTCTAAGAAATGAGGATGCAACATTATACAGGGATCCAGACTCCTTATTGTAGTTATAAACGTCTGTCTAATTTACATCTTCTAATTCATCAGCGGATCAGCTTTTCTTCTCTGCATCCTTTCTGTTCTTCAAAACTTTAAGGATTAAGGGTGCAACGTTATACAAGGATCCAGAGTGCTTATTATTCTTATAAAAGTCTCTCATTTGCATCTTGTAATCCATTAGCAGATTAGCTTTTCGATCTGATCCCTTTGTTCTCAGCCTTTCTTCATCTGCTAAAGAATTCTCTCTAAATGTTTTCCTCCCATTACTGTCTCGACATATTATTATGTTTAAATGTTTTGTAGTCTATCTTGAACTCGTTTTATTTGGTTCTTAAATCTTTTAATTTATTGTCTTGAGTCTTGACATTGTGTATTTATGTTGTTAGGGAAGTTTTGTGGAGTCATATATGACTCCCCTATGGAGTCATATAGACCTATGTGACTCCATCGCAACCACACTTTTTTATAATGGAGTCTTTCACTATAAAAATGAATGGTTAATGGTTATGATAAAGATATATCCATATGACTCCATAGTAGAGTCTATATGGTTATACATTAAAAATTGTATGTTATTAATGCTAATTATTATGGGTGAGTTATAATAAAGTTTTAAATTATCGGAGTAATCATATGGATGTAAATACTGCTTGGCAGCTATAATTCTTGGATCTTATGACCCCCCGAGTTACAATCTCCATAACTTCTTCTGGTCCGTGCTAGGAGGATCTCGAGTTTAACAACTTTTGGTGTAATTTAGACCCTGTGTGTCAATGATATTAGCAAGTTTTTTTTGTCTGTAGTTATGAATTCTGTAGTCTTGTGTGGAAGGACAATAAAGAGCACCAGTTTCTCTGAACCTTTATTTAGGATAATTTTGGGAAGGAAAGAGTAGCAAAGAAAGTGAGGGAGATAATCAGAAAATAAAAAAGTTTGGTGTTTTGATGAAGAGAAAAGTATTGAAGAGATAGTTGGATATGGGATAAAAATTGCTGCAATTACCATTTTAACCTTGCTATTCTTTCTCTACCTAACAAGATCTGCACAAAATTAATGATAAAAATGGAGTATGTCTTTACAAGAAAATTGAACTTTTTCTCCTCTGATCTCATTGCAAACACACTAAGATTTACTCAATGTCTGGTGCTCTCAAAATTCTTTTTGCTAAATCCCTCTTTGTCCAAACAAATCATAAATGATCTAGATGGGCTACTCTCTGTCATCAACTTGGAGTTGATTGCTTTTTATGTTTTGTGCTGCAGTTTGCGATTTATAAGGAAATAAGGGGCAGGTTTAGTAATCACATCTGGCTTGATGTTGTCTCTAAATGTGACCTGCTGCAAGAATCCCCTGTCATCTTTGTAACAGAAGATAGCAAAACAGACCATCCCGAGCTTGTAAAGTACAGGAAAATGGGACCTGACGGAGCGTTACACGTGTCCGTGAAGAGCGAAATCGGGCTTAATGACGTCAGTACTCTGATTCACCCTTTTATAGTTTTATGATGAACATTTTTTATACTCCGCATTGATTACTACTTGTGGGTACAAATGAGCTTGCAACTATTTGTATTTATTAGTATTTACGTAATTACTGCATTTTTTCGTTTTTGGCCAATGCAGTTGAAGAGCAGAGTCCATCAGCTACTTGTATCTCAATCAGAAAGGATTGAAACCCCAAAGGGTACCAAGGAAAATTTTGTAGCTCTATAGACCTTCCAATAAAATGCTATCAATATGGATGAGGTTAAGTTTGTGAGCTTGGTTGGTACTCCACTTTTTTGGCTCATACACCCAATCTTTCACTCAAGGCTAGCTTATTTGACTCCAGTAGTATAAAATGTTTTGCAAAATCTGTTATGTATATGCATTTTGTTGAAATACAATCTTTTAAATATTAGTTCCTTTCCATCTATATTTTTTCAAATGAATTTTGTATAGTCATTTCAATCAAATCTACCAAAGGGGTTGAAATTTACGGAGCAATAAATATGTAGTTGAGAACTTGAGAAGACCATTACTACATCATCGATGTCACCTTTACTTTAGAATTTTCTTTTCTTTTGTTTTATAATTAGTGTAAAGAATGATCATTTCAGAATTGAGGAATGAGAGAAGCCGCGTTGTGAAGCTTTATGTGGAATTGTGGTTTTACTTTATGATTGGTGTAAAGATGTTCATTTCAGAATTGAGGAATGAAAGGAAACACGTAGTAAAGCTTTATGCGGAATTGGATTCGTACTAGCAGCTATTACAAGTAGATTGATCTTTTTATCTTTACCACAAGAATAAATACTTGTTCTTTAATAACGACTGGTTGGAATCGCGATCTTCTTGCTTCGTGCCGATTCCCAAGCCAATGCAGAATAAAGTACTTTTGTATAATAGAAGTCAAAAACAATTTAAAATACTTTTTTTTGTAAGAGCAATTTAAAATACTTGGCATCTGTATCATGCTTTTAGTTTTAAAAGGTTTAATTTAAATAAAAGTTGTCACTTAAAAATACCAACTTCGATTTTAATTTCCCCTATCCCTAGGGGTGGACTGGGTTGGGCCGGGCTCTGGGCCTGGGTGGGCTCTGGCTTAAGAAATTCAGGTCTGGTACCGACCTGGGATTTTACTGAGACCGGTTCGGGCGGGATTGGGCAATAAATTAAAAAAATAATGTAATTGGGTCCAAATTAAAATACAAGCCTGAAGCCTGCCCTTATGGCCGCCAGGTCAGTCCCCGGGCCAGGTCTAGTGGTGGACTCCAGCCTACCCGTCCCAGTCTATCCTTGCCTACCCCTAGCAGGTACACCAAACCATCCTTTAAACATACAGGGATAAAAAAAGAATACTCGTTACATTATAAATTGTAGTATCAAATAAACATACATGTTTTACAATTTAAATGTATAAAATAGTTGCTTTTAAAATTTAAATGTTTCACCAAGAAGACCTTGCAACTCCGTGTCTCCATCTTCATGTTAACGTGCTAGTATTCCGTCCGGAAACAATTATTTAATGCCCATAGATAAGTAGCGGATTTGGAATTTACATTTTGGGTGTTCAATGTTTATTTGCAAAAAAATCAATGTTTATCACCCAAACACAAATCACCAAAAAAAATGTTTATTTGCAACCAAAAATGTAATGAGAAATGAATAATTATACTAAATTTATACATATATACTTGGAAAAATGGAAACTAATAATCCAACCTTTTAGCAGTTTTGTTACAATAGTCCCACCTTTTCGTTATTCAAGAATAATCCAAACTCTGCACCCCATCTTCATTCGCTGGTCCCCGACCGGTTAATGACCTGCTATTCCAAGTTATTTTCTTATCTTTGTAAAATACTATCTTTGTGAAAGGTGAGATTTATGGTATAATGGTTTGCAAATGTAAGAAATATCTTGGAATAGCAGGTCATCAACTAGTCAGGGACCAGTGAATGAAGATGAGGTGCAAAGGTTGGATTATTCATGAATAACGAAAAAGTGAGACCATTATAACGTTTATAAGAAGACTGCTAAAAAGTTGGATTATTAGTTTCCATTTTTCCTATATACTTGCACGTTTTTGAAAAAATTGAGTGTTCATGTGAACAAATTGAAACAAGAGTCCGCCACTACTGCACTACATAGATTCCATAAAAGTATAAAACGGAAGAAAGAAAACCGTAAACATAGACATGCATGGACAACAATATATTATGGCAATGTTGGTGAATACAACAAAATATAATCATCATAAATTCATAATCAATTTCATAAAGGACAGCCCGGTATACATTGGGCGTTCCTGCAAGTCCAGGCTGAAAAGGGATCATACCACAAGGGTGTGTATCATTTTGACAAGTTTGACAAGTCTCTCCCAAAATTTGAATTTGCATCCCCTCAATCATCTCTCCTTTACCATAGAGCTAAAGTTATACCATAGTATATACTCCCTTGTCCAATAAAATTTGTCCAAAGTTAACTCACATGTAAACTAATAAAGTAAAAAGCGTGTGATTTAAATTTGTGTAGAAAAGAGTGATAATTTTAACGACATACTTAGTATTTATTACTTTAATGGAAATGGAAATGGAGGTAAGGGTCAGATTGGTAGTCGAAGTTGCAAAAAAATGATCAAATAAGTTCTTATATAGGAGACTTTGTCCAACCATCGCCATTTGTGACGGTTCTCAATGATTTTTTTTTTACGAAACTTTTTTAGCATCTTATTCATTAAGTCTAGTTTACTCATACCGAATTTCAACTAAAAATTCAACCGGGAAAGCATTCAAATGAATTCTTGAAGATAACTGCGCAGTTAAAAGCGCAGTTATCTTCAAGAATTCATTTGAATGCCTTCCCGATTGAAGTTTTAACTGAAATTTGGTATGAGAAAACTAGACTTAATGAAAAATATGCTAAAAAAATTTATCAAAAAATTCCACCGGGAACCGTCCCAAATTGCAACGGCCGGACAGTAAGGACTTATTTGACTCTTTTTATGCAACTTCGAGTACAAATCTGACACTTACCTCAATGGAAATGCTTTAAGACAACTAAATAAAGATATTTGGTATAGTTTTGTGTAAGGAAGGAGTATTTTATTTAAAATGCGCCTATATAAAAAAATGACGACACCTCATCACTAAAGGCCCTCCAAAACTGGCCGGACATTTTTCCGGGAGGATGTAAGTTGAGTTTAGATCACGTTCTGATGGATCGGAATGAGAGTAACTCCATTACAAATCATTGCTTAGAATTGAACTCGAGACATCTCCCTTGTTACACCATTTTTCTACCTGGTGAGTGTTGCCTACATAAATTTGCGGCCAGTTGTCATAACTGCCGCCTATAAATACACGGACTTGATGAACTAGGCAGGAGCTGAGCTGGTCGCCTTTTCTTCTTAAATATTCTCTTCGTCCATCCAAAGTACTGGTCTTATGATCTTATCTTAGCTTGATTTCTTCATCTCTTCATTCAATTAAATATTTTACTTTATACAATTAATAGCCATTCAAACCTTTAGCAAAATATTTTAATGGTTTGGGTTTTGACTTTTGATTAATTTATAGCCATCCAAACCATTATATTGTATATTTTGCAAAATATTCAATTTATAGCCATTATATTCAAGCCAGATAAATTACCATTTCCCAATTACTACTCCGTATTACTCTATTAATTTACTCTTTGGTAATGCAGATTGCTTAGCTTACTCAACGTACACCACTACGGTATTTGGCATTCATGGCCACGACCCGTCATTATTTTGAAAAGAAGGTTTTATATTATTATATTATCATTGTTACTGTTATCGCTCATTAATATTGTCAAGGTCAAATTAAAAAATACTACGTACTATATCACTATATGCATTTTGGTGCATAACAGCATAAGTGCATTATTATCTCTTAATGAAATAAATCTATACCAAATTACTTTTAGATGTTAAACGGACGGTTTAACTTTATGGGAATTTTGGCCCATTTAAAGTTTATGTTAGCAATGATAATCTCCATTATTCAAGTTTTCATTATTGTATTGACCGTCAAAGGGCAATACAATAGGAGTGATGCTTTTCGCAGTGCTGATTTTAATGATAAAATGATATTGTAATGATCCAACAGTATAATTTGAATGAGGTAGTATTGACAAACAATGTCGAATTGCATTCAGGGAATAAACGGAGACAGCTTCTCAAATTACAAAAAGGTTAAGATCGTCTTTGTTCTTGGTAATCATCCAACTGCTTCTCAAATTCCAATATTTACTCATTCACAATAATTATTATTCATAAATTTCCTTTGGACTTACAAATTAAGTCACCGAATTTGTTAAAACTGTTGAAACTCGGGTTCAATTATCAAAATATGTCGAAACATAGAAAAACTTATATCTAAAATATGCTTTAATTAGTTGATGAAATGAATAAAATATATACGTCTCAAAATGATGGTCTTGTATTTCATTTTCGGAATGTTCCAAAATGATGTTCTTGTTTCCCTTTTTGGTAAAGAAGTAAAAGTAGATTACCATTTATACACCTCCTTTTTAATGAAGAGTATAATAAAAGTAAAATGGTGAATAGTACAATAAATTAAGATTCTTTAGTCTTTCTACCACATTTTCTTAATTTTTGTGCCCAAAAGAAACAAAACCATCAAATTGGGACGGAGGGAGTACTACTTATGCAAAATTATACTAGTCATTTTCAATTCGCAATGTCACATTGTCACGTAAAAGAGATTTACGTTTTTACTTCACTATAAGCTAAATTGGTACAAAAGAACAACAAAGGGCAGTGTTTTATAAGCAACTTCCTCCAAAAGTTTGATAAAGCCGATATTTTTACTCACAACCCGTCACTAGATACATATACAAGGTTTTTTTTAGTAAATCTTACACGAAATTGTTTGCACTAATAATACAAAGATTTTTAAATTTGGAATGTCTCACCTTACCATGCCCATTTTATCGGTATACAACTATACACAAATAATTTTAAACTTTTTTGCATTTTAAGTCAAATTGTTAGTGTTCACAGATAACCTATTTGGTGTGTATAGAAAACGTGCGCATAATATGGCAAGTGAGAAGTGCTCCATATAATTGTAATAGGAAAAATTACATTTTGACATAAAAGTTGCACACGCTTGACACACAGTACACGAGCTGTGTACAGTGTACACAAGCAACAACGAGGTGTACGCATTGTCTGTGTGCACAGACAAATACGTACAAATGTGCGTTGTACTATATGTATGAGTTTTGTGTACAAATAGAATTGTTGATCGTAATACTACGTAGTTCTTACTTTCTTATGATAGGTGGGCCAGGGAGTGGCAAGGGTACCCAATGTCAAAAAATTGTGGAGCATTTTGGTTACACCCATTTGTGCGTTGGGGATCTTCTTCGAGCAGAGATCCACTCTGCTTCTCCAAATGGGTACTCTTCGATCAATTCACTCATTTAGTCATTATATTTTTCTCTGTCTTTCATAAACCCTTGTTAACTTTTAGTTGATTCACATTATTTTTATGGAAAATTTATTATTGCCTATTCATATATTCTCACTAATTATCTTTATTCAAATATCTTCTACTTTTCAACCATAGTCTTATTTTTTATTTTAAAAAAGTTTCACTATTAGCAAAATTTTACTATCAAGTCATATGTGAAGAACTATAGGTAGAATTGTTAATATGCCTTGAATCAGATCACTCGTTGTTTGGAGGAACATACAATTATATATTATGTGTTGTGATTGTCAAGCTCTCAGTGTAATATTTAGTCAAATTGATAAAATCGGATTTTTCTTTATGTGTATTTGGATAATACAATGTTGGTGAATCACATAAATGTATTTGTCATTCTTACCTTAATTCTTTGAATTGAATGGAGGAAGTGTGTGAATGTATACTCCCTTCATTACTATTCTTTTAATACTAATTTTTATCTAATAAATAAGAAAATCTATATATCATGTTCAATAATTCTCCAAATGCTTACCAAAAAAAAACTCTAGCTAATGCTTATGTTCATATTCAGAAAAGAGATCCAGATCATGATTAAAGAAGGAAAAATCATACCCTCTGATGTGACAGTGGCACTTCTCCAAAGGGCAATCCAGAATACCCCGAATGACAAATTTCTAATTGATGGCTTCCCTCGCAATGAAGAAAACCGTGAAGCTTTTGAACGTATTGTGAGTCCTTTTTCCATTTTTCTTCTTATAGGAGATGCAACTTGAATTTAAGTTGGTGTTCTTTTCAATATTTTATATATTACCTTTATCCCACAATTAAATTTCCAACGTTTATTTTTTCCCTGTTTTATAAGTAAATTAGACAAAGTTGACTTGCACGTAGAGTAACAAAGTATAAACTACGTGATTGGAACTTGGGCTAAAGAGAGGGAAATAACTTTATCACATATCTATCACTTTAAATGGAATTGACAAAATCTTTTAAAGATACTTTAGAGGGCAAGAGCCTTAGGTTAGAGTCTTATGGAGTGTTTGCAATTGCTTCTGCTTAAAAAAACACTTTTGGAGTGATTTGAAAAAAGTGATTAGTAATAAAAATTGATAGTGTTTGAGAAAAAAAATGAATTTGAAAAGTAAAAGTTGGTAGTGTTTGGTAAAATAAGTGTTTTTGTGTAATAGAAAAGGGAAAAACACTTTTCACACGCAAGCCGAGAAAAAGTAAAAATTTGTAGTGTTTGGTATATAAGTATTTTTTTAAGCCAAAAGCTAAGAAGTGCTTTGTTTAAGCTATTGCAAAACTATGTTGCAACATTCAACATCTCGATTTAGAGAGACCAAATTTGTGAAAGTGTAATCTATTTAATATACAAAAGCTCCTTTATTCAATCATTTCATTTGTTAAATAATTGTTCTTTTAATTTGAATATGAACAGAAGTTTAAACATAAATGTAAGTCATACTTGTCAACTTTTGTAACATTTTCTTACATAAGACGTAGTTATTATAATAATTATTATTATTATCGAGACGACCTTGATATTCTAGAGAGCATTATTATTCAAGAAAACACTTTTTAGCAGAAACCATTTTCTACAATACATTATTTTCGCCAAAAACAAAGTGAGCATGAATCTGAATCACATGCATTTGATTTTGCAGACTGGGATTCAACCAGAATTTGTCATCTTCTTTGATTGTAGTGAAAAGGAGATGGAAAGACGCATTTTGAGTAGGAATGAGGTCTTTTGAAACATTATCTTTCACATCCCTAATTTTTGTGTTTAACATCTTTCTGCGATTTTTTATTATTATCTATCTAATAATGTTATTATTTTAATTAACCATTCCATGAAGGGAAGAGAAGATGACAACATTTGTACAGTTATGAAAAGGTTTGAAGTGTATAGGGAATCCACTCTTCCAGTTGTTGAATATTACAAGTCAAAAGGCAAGCTTCGTAAGGTAAAAAAACTAAAGAAGTTACTTTTTGGTACACCATCTTTTACATCAGTTTCAAACAAATTGATTTTTTGTTTTCACAAATACAAATTTGATACACAAGTTCATCTTTATGTAAGATAAATTAGAAGGTGATGGACAAATGAGCATTATTGTTACTGCCATTGAACCATGCATATTTTCAGTGTAGTGAGACATATATACTCAAAGAAGTTGGTACAAAGTTTTCCCAAGTTTTTTTTGATAAATTGTGACCCAAATATTTTGCACTAATAATTAAAAAAGATGAGAAAGTTCCTGGAATATGAGTAATCGAGTATGGAATTCCAAGGTAGGACTGCTATTTATTTTAACTTCCTTAAATATGAGTAACATGATTGTATTTATTGTCATTTTGGAGTCATTACTGACAAAATAATTGCAGTACTAGACATTAATATAATCATATTTACTACCATTAATGACATTTTTTCAATCATGTAAGATATATGACTCTTATTTCAGAAAGAAAAAACATAACAATCATACTTTGAATTTCAAAATCTATTTACTACAATTTCTCAAGATTGAAATTTGATACACAAGTTCATCATTGTGAAGATAAATTTTGGTTGTTATGGCAATAACAACAAAGAATTACCATTATTAACATCATTTAATTAACAATTTTTTTTTAATCTTAGATTGATGGTGATAAGCCAGCGAAAAAAGTTTTTGAAGCTGTTAAGGTTGCATTTACTGAATCGGGAGGAAATATAAAGAACCGTCGTGATGGACTAATGGGCCGGATAAAGTCAATATCCCATGTTATGCAAGGAAAATGGCGATCAGGAAAATGGTAGTACTCTATAAAATTATGTTTGTATGAGGAACAAAAGTTATTTATGAAAATCGAAAGAGTACTTTAGGAAATATAATAATGCAGAGTACTACATTTATTTTGCTTCGTATTTAACTTTGAATTTGTAAGAATTCAAATGAGTGTGAGCCATAAAGATTAAAGTGTAACAATATCTGGCTTAGGACAACTGGACAATCATTTTAGAATGAACAAAAATGGAGAAAAAAAATAAGACGAACCTGTTATTCTTATTTAGAAGAATGTCTATTCTTATTTAGAAGAATGTCTGCTTTAATAATGATATTAGTATGAAAAAAATGGTATTAGTATTACCATTACAATACTTATTATAATCTATTTAATGATAAACGAAATTACAATGTAATAAAATAAGAATAATAAACAAAATGGTTAGCATGCTTATTGGCTTAATAGAATGTTTACCCAATGCTTCACCTTTTCAAACATTTCAGAGATTCAACTAACAAGTACAGAAGTAGGACCATCATTCAGAGAATGAAAAAATAACCTTAACACTCTGTTTACATCTAACAAGAGAGATCTGCCTATATATGCACAAAGCCACAAACTTAACCCATATACAGAGTGGTGAAGAAGTTCTACATTTTCACCACTTCGTTTTATAACAAGAAACATTTTTTCTTTTTAAAATGGAGACTAAGAAACCAAACCCTGGAGCACTTTTGGTTGTTTCCCTGGGAAACCACTTTCTGATAAAATAAATAAACTTATTTGTTCAATAATCCAAACCTCCCCCATTCCACACCTCTGGAAATGGAATCACTGTTGGGTAAAATGAAGTCATTTGTCTGGAAAGCAAAAGACTGTTAGTTTAGGTGAATGAGTGATAAAGCACGGTCTTTTCATTTCCGAAAAAGTAACAGTAACACTTTCTGAGGTAACCAAACAAGCCATTAAAGTTGGATCCTAAACAAAGATAATACCATTTTCTGCAATGGTATCAAGAACTATCCCCAGCCTGCCTTGTATCCTCTCATTCTTCTTAGGCTCATAGGACATTGCAAAGACATCAGCATCCTTTGAACGCTCGGCAATCAACTTTCCAATAACCCTGGCTGCATTATCATCAGAAAGTGAGGGCAGTGTAGTCCTAAGGTCCTTGGCATTTGTTGTAGCCACTGAGATGACCTTGCTGGTTGGTCGGTGCATTACTTTTGCCTGGATAAACCGGTTAGAGAAGAAAACATCCAACAAGAATGGTCTCATATACATATCTGTCCTTTGTTTCCATGATTTTTGATTAGGTTTCTTTGCAGCTTCACTCTGAGATCTCCTTGTGTAGGCAGCTGCTACAACTGAGCTCTAGCAGACGTAGGGCACATACATCAACACAACTGAAGCAATTCAAATTTACACAAGGCTTAAATAAATCTATTTTGTTTTAGGTTCTACGGAATAGTAAAATTGGTTTTGTGATTCATCACAGTAAATCATGTTGTTTTCATTTTAACCCTCCTGCCAACCTCACTAAAAAAATGATAAGGCTCACAGAAATCTTGTCTGGCTTTTCCATTCATCATCATTACCATAGTGCCGCAAAGGCTCCCACCTACGGTGGGGTAGGGGGGTCTGATGTACGCAGTCTTACCCCTGTACTAAATCACAGAGAGACTGTTTCCGAATAACTCATAGTGAAAATTGAGTCGAAAATTGCATGGACCGATTGTTGCTTCATAACAAATAAGCGCAGACAGTTCAATGAGCCATTTTGTTTTATTCCATCATATTCCCAAGCCAAAAATAGTGAGTCTTTGGCTCTATTGCAAATGATGGAAATAAAACAATTTAGTTCATTAGGCCCAATCTTATGTTGAAATCGACTATCGAGGATTAATTACAGAAGGTCTACCTGGAAAGGCCATGTTAGAGTTTCGACACTTCTATGAGCCCTGCCAGTTTTTTTATTGAAGGGAGCCAATTGAGAGGGAGTAACAAGAATCAATGTAGATTATCGGGATGAATAACAAAAATGGTATTTTTAATCAGAATTTTAACAGAAATGATATATTCGCGGGGACTCAATCATATTTAAGCCTTTACACAAGCATAAATCAATTCCAATTTGATATTTTCCTAATAGTTGTGATTATTAGGAAGCAATAGCGATACATTATGTGGTGGTACACATTCTTAGCATCCAAATAACATCGGATCCAAAAGATTTGTTTTTGCATATGCTTGTGCACCGATTCTGCTGGATTGATGCAAAGCCTAAAAAGGAAAACAATAGCTTTATGTTCACTGACTGTACCACTACTGCTTTTATCACTAAGGGTACGCTTGGATCCTGGAAACAGCTAGGCAAAAGAAATATAATGTGCTAAAGGGGTTATAATTTTCCAGTCATTGGTTTCTCCTTGAAAAAGAAAATGAAATATGGCATTTTATTTTAATTATATATGCATGTATGTATATTGATCTCTTAGTCTTTGTCAGGTTGAAAATAAATAAAATGAGTTTCAGGTTTTAAACAAAAATATCTAAAGTTGATTTTTAGTTTGAATCTATTTTCTGCTTTTCCTACTAGTTCTCTTTCCTTCTTATTTTTCTCTCTGTTTTCTTTCTCAAGCATTTTCCAGAGTCCCAAGGGAGTGGACTTTATCATACTAGTGTTCCAAAAGTACTTCTTTTTAAGCTGATACATGCTTTTCCACAATTTTATTTGTTCTTCACTCGTCTTCCAACTACTGTAACCTAGAAGGTCAAATGTTGGATTGAAACTGAAAATGAATTCGCTCCCACACATGTTTATGCAATCCACATTAAAATGCTTTTCAGCAACACTCTTCTGGGTGTAATTGAATATGAAATAAGGAGAAACTAAACATAACATCGTATTAATAATCTTACACAATGTGTTCTGCAAAAAAAATGCAATTAAATTATAAATTAACAGTTCAACAAGTCTTGAATATGATTTTGGTCCATTACTCTAAGAAGAATTACTTAAAAGAAAATAAAATAGAAATGATAAAAGAAAAATACTTGTTTAGGTGAGAAATTCCGATGGTATGGGGCTAAAGGCATGGAAATTTTTAGCCGCGGGAAGGAAGAAGCCCATGAGAGAGAATGTGGCTTCTCAACATTTCCCTTGCCGCCAAACTCAGAGGAGAGTGCTTGTGGTAGTGAAGACGATAACGGTAAACAGGCAAACATTTTTCCCTTCTAGGGTTCCAGATTTTCTGCGAATGAACAGATTTTAAGTTAAATACATTACGGGAATTGAATTGTACTGAGATAAAAGTGAATCATGACCTACACTCTATTTGGGTAAGGTGATCCTAAATAAACCTAGTTTAATAAAGTAAACTTAGATTTAAATAAAACTAGGTGAACCTAGATGTATATGTAATATATTGCTTGAGAAAAAATTAAGTGAACTTATATTAATGTAATAAATTATTGTTTGGATGAAGGTGCTCTAACTCATTAACGACATACTTCGTATATGTCTTTCATATGTAAAATATAATTGCATGAATGTTGTTAATGCACAACTCTGAAAAACATATACTTGCAAGTTCAAACATATAAAATAGGTATAAATATTTATCACACATTAAAAAATGACAAGAAATAATCCTAAAATACATCAAATATGTATGAATGTACAATGCACATGTCATTCTCCATGAACTTCAAATATGTGGCAATCACAATTGCAAACCAAGTTACAAGTATTCCAACCGTCGCATTAAGAAACTCGTCATCATCATTAGCCACCATCTGAAATCTAAGAACAAGAACTCCTAGATATACATCTCCCTACTGCAAATAATAATATTTTTTTATTTTTTAATACTACATTTCTAATAACTTGATTACCCTTTGGTGGTGCTTTTACTTCTTGACTCTAACTAGTTTTATATGCACATTCTTTACTTGGATATAATATTTGTGTGTTTTTGTTTGAAGTAGACATAGCTAAAGGTCAACTTATATTCATATGTCCAACATAACTATGCATATTAGTCCAACAAATTTTATGGATTTCATTTTTAGTAAAGTAAAGATATTCTAAATCAAAACTTTGTTGAACCACATTAAAATCTATGTTTTCTGACTGAGCTGTTGGGTCAATATTTTAAATATATTATCAAGTATAGGTCAAGCATATTAACAAACGGTTTGTATTCGGTCGATTATATATCAACGTTTACTTGAGACTTAATTTGGAACTTCACTTATTCGGTTCGAATATTTTGACTTAATCGTTTAGTAGAATTTTTGTACTCCTTACCGTTCAGACACTTCGCGTTAGGGTTGTAAACGGATCGAGTCGAATAATGTGATTTTGTATTTGTATTTGTATTTGTTTATTTTTTTTAATACGAATACAAATTCAAATATGAAACGAATATTATTTTCGAATTGTATTTGTATTTGTTTAATAATACGAATAATTCACTAATCATATACGAATATCGAATCAATTTGATCACAAGTTAATTATTAGTCAAATATCAATTTAAAACCATTTTCCCTATATTTTGTATGTTATAAATGCATGATATGAGTTAGTATGTGTTTTATATAATTTAATTTGTAATATTATATTTTTCTTTAAAATTTAATGGATCGATGCATTTCTAGATTGTGTACAATATACTAAAGTGAATCAATTTTATGATTACTATAAATAAATATATTTCAATGTTTTGAAATAAACACTAACACATAGCCAATAGATATATAGGTTATATTGGATAGTTAATACGCACACACAACTAGATAGTTGATTTTGTTTTTTTTTTCGGAAGGTAAACCACCAAAATCAGTGGGATAAATGCCGGAGTACATTTACCAAAGTTTTATTAAGGATAATCATGATTACAAATATAAGAGGGTAGTCCTGGACTCGGGCCGGGCGGCCCGGCCCGGAACCGGCCCGGCCCGGTCACTGTTTGGCCCGGCCCGGCCCGGGGCCCGGTGGGTCCCTCGGTTCGGTTCGGTTCGGCCCGGCCCGGCTGCTGGGCGGTTCGGGCCCGGGCCCAGGTTTTGGTGAACCGGCCCGGCCGGTTCGGGCCCGGTCCGGGCCGGATTTTAATTTTTTTTTTTTTTTTTGAATTTTTTTTAAGTTTTAGAATGGATTAGGTATTTTGGGCCATTTGAGGTGGTTTGGGATGGTTTGGGGTTGAGGGGGAGGGGTAGGGGATTAAATAGGAGAACAAAAAAAAAAATTATTGGGCCGGTTCGGCCCGGCCCGGTTTGGCCCGGAACCGGGACCGGAACCGGCCACCGGCGGTTCGGGCTCGGGCCTCCCTTTCCTGGCCCGAGGCCCGGCCGGGCCCAGGCCCGAACCGGGCCCGAACCGGCCCGAGTCCAGGACTATAAGAGGGGGACCAAACCAAAACCTCTTATAAAACCAACCATCAAAATAAAATTAAAAATTAAAAAATTGGGGGGCTAGGCCTTACCCAAAAAGAAATACATGAGCTAAATCCGTAAAACTGGAAATCCGAACATATCAGCATAGTAACTATGTTTAACCTTAATGGACAGGTGACTCATGTGATTAAAGACCATAACTTGGGCTGACTCGAGTCTCAAATTTGCAAGCAAGTGGGCTATCCCATTTCCTTCCCTAAAAGTATGGCCGAAAGTATATTCATTGCTCGTTGCTTTCTGTCTGAAATAACTTAGGTTTCCTGAATCATCCAAGATTTCTGCTAACACATGAGAGGCATCGGTTTCAACCTGAACATCAACATACCCGGCCTCCATCACCATTTCAGAGGCTCTAATCAACGACCTAAGCTCCGCCTCAACGCTTGAAATCGCCTGGACGCCGAAGCTAGCCGCCCAGACCAGTTCGCCAGCACGATTTCTGAGAATGGCTCCCCCCGAAACAGACCCAAGTTTGAAGGAAGCATCTACATTAAGCTTGTACGTTTGCTTAGACCGTTTCCATTTTATAATTTGAATTCCACGGCTTTTAAACTTGAAATTGACTGGATGAGACTTTCATGAAAAAGAAATTCTCCCACCCTTCTCCTTTTGATGTTGCCCAAGGAATGTACCCATGGCTGAGTATATAATTTAATCTGGAATATCAATTGATCTGCTCTAGGTGTGTAACTTGAACCCCAAATGGCAGAAGAATAAGCCTATTAAATATGCCATGTAATGATGTCAGGCATATTATGCTTAAACATATCACCCATTGTTTTTGACCCAGACTCTATCCACCATAAAATCAGAATTTGTCTAATCCGAGCTACTTAAGGCATCCTAATCCCAAAAAGCCCCATAAAATAATGTCATATTTCTTTGGAATAATTACAGCCATAGAATACATGATGAGTAGTATCACAATTATTCCTACACAAGAGGCATCTTGATGGCTGAAGAGTGAATTGAAATCTTTACAGGTTATCAGTAATAGGTAGATAAGAATTCAACAATTTTCAAAGGAAAATCTTAACCTGCATTGACTGATTCTAATGCCAAATGTGTTTATTAGTAAATGTTATCGACCTGTTATATCTTATTTCATGATATGCAGAGGCAAGAGAGAAGATTCCATGGATACCAGGATCCCACTGCAGCACTCCTTCAGGATTATAAGAACATAGGTCAGCAGCAGCTACACTGTACACTCTTTGTTTGTGTACAAAGAAATATATATATTTCATTACTCTTCGAATCATTACAAGTATTTGAGATATTTGAACAAAAAATCTGATTTGTATTCATATTTGTATTCTTTATTTTAACATTTAAATAATAATTTGTGAATCCTAATCATAAAATCGAATAAAATTACTTATTTTTGTTTACAACTTTTACTCCTTACGATACTTTCTATTTGTTACAAATTAACTTGGAGTGTCTGTACATAAATCTAAATATGAGCTAGACTTTGAGAGTATACTTAGCGTTAAAATTATTATAGTGTTATTATTGTTATTATTTTTATTATTGTTGTTATTATTAATAATATCATTATTATCGATCGTATATATTTGATTAATATTCGAATAGAATATACTGATATTCGTATTTGTATTTGATAATAATTCGAATCACATTTAATATTCTTATTTGTATTTGAATATTTTGAATTTGAATCGTCTTAAACGAATTCGAATGCCGAACCGAACATAAATTACTTGATGAGAATATTACTCGAAATAGGACTAAAAAGTTTGAAAATTACAAAATAGGACTGTCATGTTTTATTCCCAAAATAAAACTAATTACTGCCATGTTTTGACAGTACTAGACTTCAAACATGGCAGTTTTTTCCAAACTTGACAACAATTACTCCTATTTTGGAAATAAAAACATGGTAGTCCCATTTTAGTCCATATTTCTGGAACTTTCCCTTATTTGATTCGTATACACCTGCTTAGTTGATAGTTTATAGGCTATCTCGGTTCTATCCCACCCTGTAGCGGCTCTGCTCCGCACGCCACTAAGATTGCTTTGGGCAAGTATGTCCTTTAGTCACACGTTTCTTAATGGTGCTAGCGCACCACCTACTTTTCCAGTTTCCTCGCTAAAATCACTCATATACGGAGTACATAATTAAGAAGCACCTCCGTTGATTTTTTAATTAGCCTTTTTGCTTCTTTATAATAAAATTAGGTTTTAATATATCCTAATATTTTGTGTGACAAGTTTCTAAGGAATAACATAGGTAATATTGTCTCATTTTATCTTTTCAAAAAATCTTACTAAAATTGTTTCATACCCAATTTGATAAATATTGTGTGAGTGTAAATCATTCTTACTTTATTCTTAATTTATCAATTAAAATCAATCACATAAACTCACTTCTCTTAATAATTGTGTCACCCTCTTTCATCCCAATATCAGTGAGACGGATGTAGTACTGTCATCTGTATAAATCTTTAAAACCTATTGTTAATGCTCTTATAATTTTCTTACAATCTTCTTATTTAATGGAGGATGAATCTGAAAATTATCTAAAAATAATACTTGACTTTCAGGCTTATGAGGTTATCTGCCCACTATCTGTATCTCGAATCTTCTTTTTGATGTGTTTCATTAAGTTTGTCGTATACAATATTCGTTACTATTTTGATGGTCATATATATATATATATATATAGAGGGCTGTTCCTGTACATCCATATGTATAGGAAGCTCCGTACGGACAAAGCCATCTGAGGCCCTTCCCGTTCGAATTTTTTGATGAAATTTTTTGAGCATATTCTTCATCAAGTCTAGTTTATCCATACCAAATTTCAGCTCAAAACTCGATAGGGAAGACAGTCAAATAAATTCTTGAAATATACTGCACATTATATGTGCGCAGAATGCGCCATATATTTCAAGAATTTATTTGACTACCTTCCCGATCGAATTTTGAGCTGAAATTTGGTATGGATAAACTAGACTTGATGCAGAACATGCTCAAAAAATTTCATCAAAAAATTCCACCCGGAAGGGCCGCTAATGGCTTTGTCCGTACGGAGCCCCCGTACATCCATATGTACATGATATAGAGAGAGAGAGAGAGCACTCTTCCGGTCAGGAATTCCTGACCGGAACCGCCGTCCGGACGGAGGCGTTTGGCCGCCTTCCGGGTGGAATTAAATTTCTTCTCCATATGTCATGCCACTCATGCGTCTCTTTAAACTTTTACAAGAGATGGTGAAGATGGCATCATTTTCTGGAATATAGAAATAGCGATAGATTAGTAAAAAAACACAGCCAAAATAATACGTACTCCATTACAGTCAGACTGGACAGCCAAAATAATACGTACTCCATTACAGTCAGACTGGACAATACATAGAAACCATTGTTGAATTATTAGAACTTCTAGTCAATCTTTTAAACACGTATGGTTCATTAAAAACCAATCAAGCCTGTTTATCAGATTTTCAAAGTACACAACTAGGCCTCACAACATATCACAAAGTTCACTGAAGGCTATTTATCTGCTTTTCCACACAATCAAGTGCATATTTACTGTATTTCTAAGCAAATCAGACATATAATTTCACACCTGATCAAATTTAATTTTTCAGGGAAACAGGCAACATAATAGTCTGAGCCTTTTCAGGGAGGCACTGGCAACAACTAATTGTCTGTCTGCTGCAGCCCAAACTAAATTACTTTTAAAAAACACTGTGGATGTTTACAATATAAACTTGCAAGGAATATACTTGGACAACCCTTTGTACTTCCTGCTTTTTAAACGAAGGCAGTTTTCTTCTCTGTGGATAAAAAATTATTGATCCTTCTTTGTTATTTATACACAATGGAGGGGTATAATACGTAATGGGAGGTTTTGACACCTTACTACATAGTGGATGCAAAATATTTTTAATGTACTACGCATTATTTTATTGTATTGTTTGTTAGTTATACACACTGTTATTATCATGTCTGCGGGAGATATATCAGACCAACGTGGTGACATGGGGAAGATATTTTAGAAAATACTTTGTTTTAGTAGTACGTTAAATGCAAATTGTGGCCAAGAAACTACTGGAGGAGTTGGTAGATCTAGCAGGACTAAAAGTTTAATAAATTAGAAAATGTTTGTTTTGAATGATGTTCGAACACACCTTTTGGGAGGGGTTTATGACTTCAGATTTGAATGTTTCATTATGACATTAGTGGACCTTTGATTATTCTTTTACTTTATTAATTACATTACGTGTTCTTACTTGATATAAGCTTGTGTAAAAGTTGAGGCTTAGGCCTTATTGCGCAATGAGGCTATGCTAAGATGCCACCTCAAACACGCAATACGCAATTTTGAACCTTGATGTAGCCTACCTCACATCCAGAGCGTGTCTTTAACCTTTCAGGGTCTGATCCTCAACATGGAGTGACGTCTTGCTCAGATGTCTTCAACAGCTCGTTG